CCAGAATTCTTTGAGAGGGAAAAAGTGGTATGGTTTCAAATTGGATGAGGGACTGCATTGAAGTCTATGATTCTAGGCATGAAAGGGTTAAGACCATGCAGTAAGCTGTCCTGCCAGGCTTAGCTCACCTAAGCAGGGACTAGGTAATCAAGCTCAATGTGTGAAGAGGTCTAAGTTGGTTGCTCCAGGCTCAGACCACATGGTTCTCACAAGCCATTCTGGAGTTTCTTTACCAACAGTTTAGGAACTTCACCACTTTGCAACTAAGCCAAGTTTTACTGCCTATGCAACTTTTCTGACTGATGTATGGAAAAGCACATGAACCTGACCTTTGAAGAGGTTGTAAGTATTTTTAATTTTTTAGCCTACCAAACGTGTGGTCTTTTCCTAAGCTGGGGGAAGAGGGAAATTGTGAAACTCACCAGGACATACATTAATAATCTAACAACCTATATTTCCACATGTTGCTGCATATTCTGTGATTTTAAATCTCTACTGGGGTTCTCTCACCCAAGAGTACTTGTCCCAAACCTGGATCTTGGCACCCAGGAATTCTCCTTTCATTCATATATACAGTGTGTTTTTTCTGGGGGTACACAGGGGTACGCATACCTCTAAACATTTTGTGAATCTTTGTACTTTTGTCCATTGACTGTATTTATTTCCCCAATTTGAACTATAAAATGGTGATTTTCTTCAGTCAAAATGAGAGTACCCCTAAACATTTTTTTAGAAAAAAAGCACTACACACACACACACATCCTTGAACCAACACTTTGAAGGTACAGTGGTACCTTGGTTCTCAAACAGCATAGTTGATGAACAAATCAGCTCCCGAACGCCGAAACCCTGGAAGTAAGTGTTCCAGTTTTCAAATGTTTTTCAGAAGCCGAACATCCAACATGGATGGAAGCCGCGCCTTGGTTGTCAAACAGTTTGGGAGTCAAAAGGACTTCTGGAATGCGTCTGCGGGTCGCGATTCACCGCTTCTGTGCATGTCATTTTGTGTGTTTGCGCACATGCGAGTGGCGAAACCCATTCCGTTACTTCCGGGTCGCCGCAGGACGCAACCTGAAAACGCTCAACCTGAAGCAAATGTAGCATGAGGTATGACTGTATAGTGTTTATGCAGCCTTGGTTACAGTCTACAAGAAGTAGTTTTTAATGCAGTTATTTTATTGTATTGCACTTTGAAAATTGCACTTCATCAACAGATATCCCTGGGCAGTTCCGAAACATTTACAACAGGCCAGCTAAACACACATAGCATTATGGAACCTAATTTTAAAAACTGTCTTTTTTAATAATAATAATAATAATAATAATAATAATAATAATAATAATAATATCCAATTACAAGCAAAACATATACCACCGTTTTCAGGCCTCAATGCCCAGAGTCCCTGCATGTAGCAAGAAATCCATTTGCGGGGGTAATATGCCATCAAACTGAACAAACATCATCAGCTCCCAAGTTTACTTAGAAGTCTGCACAGCCAGCTTCTGCCATCACAAGCATTTGGCTGGCCTTAAGCATTTGTCCTATGGCTTAAGGCTTGGCCCTCGGCCCACACTGTGCTTTCCACAGGCAGCTTCTCTTTGATGGACTCAGAATCGTGGGTTTTGCTTTGGGCCAGTCTCTGCCCCTCAACAGATTCTAAAGCCTCTCCTGCCTCCTGGGTGAATCTCATAGGTCAAGCCATCAGAATGGCAGGTCACCCGGCCAATCCACAGCAGTAGCCACTCTCTTGGCAAGAGGGCTGTGGTGGTGCTCAGGTCCCACTTGACAGCATACCAGAGGCAACTGCTTGGCCACAGTGAGGAACAGGATGTTAATCTAGGGCTGCATTTATACCACAGATTTAAGGCATTTTGATACTGCTTTAAACAGCCATGGCTCCCCACAAAGAATTCTGGGAGCTGTAGTTTGTTGAAGGTGCAGAGAGTTCTTAGGAGATTCCTATTACCCTCACAGAGCTACAATTTCCAGAGTTCCCTGGAAAGAAGCATTGATTGTTAAACCACTATGGGTAAATCAGTTTGAAGTGGTATACAGTAGTACCTCGGGTTAAGCACTTAATTCGTTCTGGAGGTCCGTTCTTAACCTGAAACTGTTCTTACCTGAGGTACCACTTTAGCTAATGGGGCCTCCCGCTGCCGCAGTGCAATTTCTGTTCTCATCCTGAGGTAAAGTTCTTAACCTGAGGTACTATTTCTGGGTTAGTGGAGTCTGTAACCTGAAGCGTCTGTAACCCGAGGTAAGGTAAAGGTAAAGGTACCCCTGACCATTAGGTCCAGTCGTGACCGACTCTGGGGTTGCGGCACTCTTCTCGCTTTATTGGCCGAGGGAGCTGGCGTACAGCTTCCGGGTCATGTGGCCGGCATGACTAAGCCGCTTCTGGCGAATCAGAGCAGCGCACGGAAACGCCGTTTACCTTCCTGTCGGAACGGTACCTATTTATCTACTTGCACTTTGTGCTTTAGAATTGCTAGGTTGGCAGGAGCTGGGACCGAACAACAGGAGCTCACCCTGTTGCGGGGATTCGAACCGCCAACCTTCTGATCAGCAAGTCCTAGGCTCTGTGGTTTAACCCACAGCGCCACCCGCGTCCCTCGTAACCCAAGGTACCACTGAATGAATGAATGAATAAATTTATTACGGTCATAGACCAGAAGAAAAGAAAAAAAAACATAAAAGGCAGCAATAATTTACAAGGGAATGATGGTGTCAATTAAAAGTTGTAAAATTATACATAAAAACAATATACATATACACCCACACCCACACACACGCACATATACATACTCATATATGCACTACAGTATATGTATGGGCTTAAAAAAGGGGGGGGGCTTATCCAGGGGTCAGATCTTTTACTTTTTTACAGCTAATGCCCTCCGCTTGATCGCGGCCGCAGAAAACTTGGCCACTTTCAGTGTTACTTCTGGGTTTTTATCTCCTAGTAGGATTTTCAGCCGCTGAGATTCAGATCGACCTGGAAATTTCTGAACGATAGGGGAGATAAACAGTAACCTGATATCCCCGTAAAGGTCGCAGTGTAACAGCACATGTGAAGCCGTTTCCACCTCCTTCAGACCACATGGGCAAACTCGTTCAGCATAGGGTGTGCCCTCGTATCTGCCCTTTAGTAAGGCAGATGGCAATACATCAAATCTGGTAAGGGTAAACGCCCGCCTATATTTTGCGATTTGTAGGTCCAGCAAATATGGGGTTAGATTAAACCCTTTTTCATAATCTTGGATAGCTGGATATTTATCTATCTTGCTCATATGGTCCTGAAGCTCTACATCTCCTATTCGCTGGCTCACCATCATTTTAGCCTTTTCAAAGCCTGAGGCTATGAGTTCTTGTGGGGAAAGCCCCAGGCCCCTCAATTTTTCATAAAGCGACAATCTCCATTTAGACTGGAACGGGTCTAGTAGAGTCAATGGAGCCACTCCCACTGGGAAAAATATGAGTTTTAGCCAGAAGTGAATCTTCAGGATCCATATCCTGGCATTAATAGGGAGTTGGCCTACCTCCAGCCTAATGGCAGTGTTAGAGACACAGGTAGGTAACCCTAGTAGGGAACGATAAAATTTAGTTTGTACAGATTCCAGGGACTTGAGTTTTTGACAATTAAATATCTGGGTGCCATACATCAATTGTGGAAGTATTTTTGCAACAAAGACCTGGGAGGCAGCAGGAACATATTGACCTCCTTTTCTGTAAAAGAATCTTATGATAGCTCTGGAAGATCTTTGCGCATTTACAATGGAATTCTTTATCTGATGGCACCAAGATCCCTTCTCATCAAAAATTATTCCAAGATATCTAAAAGATGTTACTTGCTCAATAGGTGGTTATTAATTTTCCATTTATGTCGGAGTTTTCTCTTGGAGAACACCATAATTTTTGATACCACTGTACCACTGTATTAATGGTATGGGGAATCTCTGCCCGCCTCCAATGTTGCTGAACTACAACTCCCAACAGTCCCAGCAAGCAAGCCAGGGAAGATGGGAGTTATAGTTCAGCAACATCTGGAGGGCCACAGGTCTCCAAAACCTGCACCAGCCCATCAGCACATATGTGTGTGAAAGGAGCACAGGGACAGGGAATAGCAAGGAAAACCGCATCTCATTTTGCTCTCTGACTCACCAACCTCTCCCCTAGGTTGTGAGAAATCACAAGAACACCTGAGCACGTGCAGAGGGCCTCAAGGGTGAGTAAGCACAACCAATCCCCCACACAGAGAGAACACATCCCACAGGCAGGCCTGTGAGCTGCCTGCCTGCTCAGGTGGTAGAGCATGAACCTCTTAATCGCAAGGTTGCGGGTTCGAGCCCCACGTTGGGCAAAAGACTATTGCACTGAAACGGGTGCGACTAGATGACCCTCTACAATTCTACGCTTCTAGGAAATCATTGCTCTCTGCTCGCCGGAGTAACTCCCGGAATGAGGCCTCCAGACGAGACGTTCCCCTGAACGAAGGCTAGCCAACGTCCAGCCCCTCGGACGTGGGGTTAAAGTGGCAGCGAGGCTCACCCTCGGCAGTACCGCGTCATGCCAGGGCATCATGAGAAAGCATCTCTGAACAGGGCGTCACAGCTCTCCCGCCACAAGGGACCCCTACAGATCAGGAGGGAGGGCAGGGGATTTCCCCAGGTCAACAGCGAATGAGCTCCAACTGCAGAGATGCTATGGGGGAGACCCAGGTAACCAACCACCTTTCCAAATTAAACATTGCCTGGGGACGGGAAAGAGACAGACACAGACTATCCTTTGGAGGGATGGGGAGGAGGCCGGATAGGGGAAAGGAACCCATGGGGGGTGGGGGGAGAGAGGGGGAAAGAGAGAGAGGAGGAGAGTCCAGAGGGAGGGCCAGGTGTGCGCGCGCGCAGCTCTCCAGGCTTCGCTCGGCTCGGCCCAGCCCGGCCTTTTCTCCCCCGCTCCTCCCAACGCCGCTGCCGCCTGGCTCGCCCGCCTGCCTACCTACCTGCCCGCCCGGATCCCCGCTGCAACGTTACCCGCAGGAGGAGCGGCGATCCGCGCTTCGCCGGCCGCCCTGGCTGGTCCCTTCCTTCGGCGGCGTCCACCGGCTGCGCGCGCGCGCTGCGCTCTGCTTTGCTCTGCTCCCCGGCAGGGCGCGCCTCGCTCATGCGCTTCGCGGCGAGGATGGGACTCGTGGGGAAGGAGGGAGGGAGGGAAGGAGAGACAACAACCCCCCCCCTCGCCTTTGCACATGCCCTCCTCCCCCTTTTGTTCGGCGCCGGGAACAGAAAGCCCGCCAGGCGCTGCTCTCCTCCGGCCTCCTTCCTCTCTCTTGCGCCCCGGGAGTTGCGCCTCCGAGCGGCGAAGAGGGAGCCCCCTCCCCAGACGCAGGCGCGCCTGCTTCTCGCCGGCCCAGGGTCCTGATTCCGCCGTGGGGAGGGGGAAAGGGGGACTGCTCTGCTTTCTCCTGCGCACGCTTACTCGCGAGTCAGTCTCCCCGGACCCGGCGGGATTTGCTCCCGAGTAAACGTGGCCTCGCCGCGGTTTGGTGGCGGGTACATAACTTTTGCACTGCTGCGCCTTTCCTCTGGCTCCGGGACAGGGAATCGGAGTGGGGTGGCGTATCGGGGGTCCCTGGTGCGCCCGAGAAGAAGAGACCCTCTCACTACCATCAAGGCCGGGAGGAATCCTTTGCTCAGTTGGGGGATTCCCTCGCCGCCGTTCCTGGAGCGCCGGAGATGGAACAGGGAGGGGGGTCGGTTCCACCCATCGCTCCACCCTCCTTGGCTGGAAGCCCAGGGAAATACATAGGGAGGTGGCTCAGTGGCTTTGCATACAGAAAGTCTTAGGTTCGAGGTCCAGCCGTCTCTAAGTAGGGCTGAAAATGTCTCTTCTGCGAAACCCTAAAGAGGTGCTGGCAGTGTTGACTGGGGTTTTTGTGCATCAAATGCAGCCCTTTCCACCTAGTCCCTGAGACTCATCCCAGGCCTTCCTTCACATCCTGGGTGTTTTTGCCTGGCCGGAATACAGTGGTACCTCGGGTTACATACGCTTCAGGTTACAGACTCTGCTAACCCAGAAATATTACCTCGGGTTAAGAACTTTGGTTCAGGATGAGAACAGAAATTGGTGGCGCGGCGGCAGCAGGAGGCCCCATTAGCTAAAGTGGTGCTTCAGGTTAAGAATGGACCTCTGGAACGAATTAAGTACTTAACCCGAGGTATCACTGTATGTGCTTGAGATCTAATAATCCCTCTTGTTTTTCTGAATGGAGGCTAGAGAAGGGTGTGTGCAAAACTAGCCAGACTGTAATATTTACATCCAGTGCTCCGCCCACTTTTGCTTCTGGCCCCGCCTTCCGCTTGCCTGTGGCCCTCTGATGGTTACCCACAAGAGAATCCGGCCCTCAAACTGAAAAGCATTCCCCGCTCCTCAAGGAAACCAATACAGTACTGACCTAAATGAACCAAGAACCAGATATGCTACCCAGCAGCCCCCAACATTCCTAAATTACAGAGTTTCTTCTTTTACCGTTTCTGTGTTTTTATTATGTTGGTTTTAATTTCGATGTTTGGTTGGAGTTGTGCTTCCCTACAGCCTTTTGTCTCTGCTGCTTCGTTTGTTTTGCCCTCCGGCCCTTTTCTCTTCCGCTGTTTACTGTGGAATGACCCTTCCCCCCTTTTTTCCCCTCCTTTCTTCGACAAATATTAGTAGTCGAGATCCACAGAGAGCCTGCAGGCTCTCAAAAGCTGTATTGGTAACCACATCAGAAAAAGCAGCATCAAACGGCACTCTGAGTAGCTGCTGGGAGGGGGGCTGCTCTCAGAATTCCCAAGCAGACACAAACCAGCACCTGAATGAAGCAGGAAAGGTGCTACATCCCCTCCTCATTCTGTTCTGCCTGTATTGTATTGCACCTGTGGCAGTGAAGCCTCTGGCACCAATCGGCTGTTGCGATTCCACAGAATGCTCCCAACCAAGCTGTCAGAATGTTCGCAATCCATATTCTTTGAGGAAAGGGAAGCACGTCAGCTTGACTCGGGTGGAAGCCTAATGAAAGTTGCACAAAGAGGGAGTCCTGCCGGGTGCAGTTTCTCTTCTTGCTGCAGCACTGTCACTTGGAAAAGTCTTAAGGAAGGCAATGTCGGTTAAGAAGCAGGGAGGCATGCAATAAATTTTGCACACTGGCGATGTACGTTAGCTCTTCGAATGCAGAATTATACTTGTTGTTTTTAATCTTGCCTTTCGGCCCACAAGGACTCCCGGCGGGTGTATGAAATAGGCCCTAAAAGCCGCATTTTGACATTCCCAAAATGCCCTGATGCACCAAAATTCCTGGAAATGTCAACTTCTACCAGGTGGTACATTCAAGCCAAGTATGAGGACTCTGACTCATTGCTGCCCATCCTACCTCACTGGGTTGTTGTGATGGTAAAAGTGTAAGCTGATTAGAGCTCTCAGGAGAAAGGTCAGTTTGTTTGTTTTTAATGTAATCTAAGGTCCACATAGTTAAAGCTATGGTTTTTCCAGTAGTGATGTATGGAAGTGAGAGCTGGACCATAAAGAAGGCTGATTGCCGAAGAATTGATGCTTTTGAATTATGGTGCTGGAGGAGACTCTTGAGAGTCCCATGGACTGCAAGAAGATCAAACCTCTCCATTCTTAAGGAAATCAGCCCTGAGTGCTCGCTGGAAGGACAGATCGTGAAGCTGAGGCTCCAATACTTTGGCCACCTCATGAGAAGAGAAGACTCCCTGGAAAAGACCCTGATGTTGGGAAAGATGGAGGGCACAAGGAGAAGGGGACGGCAGAGGACGAGATGGTTGGACAGTGTTCTCGAAGCTACCAGCATGAGTTTGACCAAACTGCGGGAGGCAGTTGAAGACAGGAGTGCCTGGCGTGCTCTGGTCCATGGGGTCACGAAGAGTCGGAAACGACTAAACGACTAAACCATAATAGCTGTTAATAATTTTTGAATTTCTGACTGCATTTTCAGGACAAAGAATGCTTTACGTATATTACCACTGTCCTGCTCCCTCCCTGCAGCTCTTCATCAGCTGGCCAATGCGCTAAAAATGGCCATAGCTTCGTCTTGAGCCTGCCCAGCAGCAAATGCCCTGTATACTTTGTGCAATGCTGCTGCTTCTTCCATGCATAAAACTTTCCCTGCTGGTTACATAACCAGCGCTTGCATCTCTCCCCCCCCCCAACTCCCTTTCAATGCTAATGAAGTCACTTTAAGGAAAGTGGGGTTTTCAATGTGATCTTCCTCCTTCAGATTAGATGGGAAAACAAAGGTTTCTTTCTCTCTTTTTTTGCCATAACGATGTTTATTCTTTGCAAAGGGGGTAGATCGACAGGGTACACACCAACCCAAATTATAACGTGCATTGTCTATAACGTGCAACTTCATTCTGCTTCCAAGTTGGCAGCTTTTCGTGTTGCCGTTGCTTTTAATATTATTTTTAAAAATGTGGAATTAGCCAGAGCATCTTGCTGGTACACTGGACAGTGTTCTGTACATTGCATGATTGAGTAACAGTGTGGTTTAGCTGCCTTCAGAGAATCTTGATTGTTGATGGTTTATTTCTCAGAGATCGCAGAGCACCCATGAAGAAATGGAGACATTAAATTACAATATTAACAGCATGCTTTGCTCTCCCTTTTTTTTTTTTTTTTTTTTGCAAAGAATGCATCATGCCTGTGATTCAGGGATGCTTTCCATGTGGGAGATCCCTTGCTGTTGCAAGACAGGGGTGAGATTCCCTGCCTCCTTTCTATGCATTATACAGGCTATAATTTACAGTTCTAGGGAGCTGCAGCTAACGCTTTTGGCTAGCAAGGATCAAATCAAAGCCCTCCCCGCAAAAGCTAGCAGGTTCCAGCCACTTACCTGCCCCCTATTTCTAGAGAGGGGAAATAATAGCCTTGTGCTTTCATCAGTCAACAACTTCCTCCCCTATGCCAGGTTGCTCTAACTGCTGCAGTTGTTAATGCCAAAGTACCCTATTCATGTAAACGACAGGTAAGCGGCTCTCTCGAGAACAAACATGCAGCCTGAGCTTTTAGCTCTCTCTACCAGGTAATAAAATCTGGCTTATTATTCAGGCACAGGAGCAAACTCAGATGAATTTCCTGGCTCTCGCTGAGTCCATAGCTCAGAAATTTCTTTTCCCTTGCCCTCAGCACGCATACTTTTTGCGTCTCTTTCCATTTGGAAAGACTTTTTTTAAGCAAATGCCCCTGTTGTCTTTTTGATTAAATTTCACATCATTTACAGTAGTACAGTAGCTGTCTGATACGGTGGGCCAATGATTCCCACCCCTTCCAGTGTGCCAGGAATCGCTATCATACTTGGTCCCTGAAGCATCCCACAAAACCTGGGCTATGGTGGAGTCAGCCAGGAGTGGCAACTGATGGCTCACAGTCCAGCAGTGCTGCACAGGCTACCAGTTTGAGTAAGGTAAAAGGTAAAGGACCCCTGGATGGTTAAGTCCAGTCGAAGGCAACTATGGGGTTGTGGTGCTCATTTCTCTTTCAGGCCAAGATGAGTCAGTGTTTGTCCACAGAGTTTTCCAGGTCATGTGGCCAGCATGACTAAGCCGCTTCTGGTGCAACAGAACACCATGACAGAAACCAGAGTGCATGGAAATGCCATTTACATTCCCACCGGAGCGGTACCTATTTATCTACTTGCACTAGCGTGCTTTCGAACTGCTAGGTTGGCAGGAGCTGGGACAGAGCAACAGGAGCTCACCCCGTTGTGGGGATTCGAACCGGCAACCTTCTGATTGGCAAGCCCAAGAGGCTCAGTAGTTTAGACCAGTGTTTCCCAACCTTGTGCCTCCAGCTGTTTTTGGACTACAATTCCCATCATCCCTTGCCACTGGTCTTGCTAGTCAGGGATGATGGGAGTTGTAGTTCAAAAACAGCTGGAGGCACAAGGTTGGGAAACACTGGTTTAGACCACAGGGCAACCAATGTAGCACTGTTCTACGGCCACTTCCAAAAGCCTGAGCTTAGCTCCTCCACTGCAGAGGAGTACTGGGAGGGGGCAGTTTGCAGAGGAGAATGGGAAGAGGGGTCTTCAACCCTTCCCTTGCTTGTCACTTCCTTCCTGCAGTGTCCCATCCCCACCCAGCCAGTGTCCTAGACCCACACTTGTGATGTGCCATTAAGTTCCATACCGCCACTACACAAACCTATAAGTTTATTGCAACCATGGGCATATGCATTTAAATCATATTTGAAGGCCACTCAAGAATCATGGGAACTATAGTTTTCCTCCTCACAGAACTACAATTCCCAACACCCCGTACAAACTACAGTACCCAGGATTCACTGGGGGAAGCCACATTAAATG